AGAAATAGAAGTGAAACTATTAACAAGAATCTGTAAAAAGCAATTCTGCTAATCCAAGCTCAAACTTACTTGTATTTTGGTTCAGTTTTTGGAAGTTTCTGTTGATTGACAATTATCAGAAATTTGTATAAAATCCTTTTGGTAATCCAAGCTAATGTTTACTCGTATTCTATATTTTTCATATTCCAATATAGTTTTGTGCATAATCAATGCAAATACTACACAAACTATAAACTATTAAAAAATGTACATAATCATATAAAGTAATACACACAAACCATATAATGAATACACATAAACGTTTCAAAAAGTACACATACTAATAAAAAAGGTCTGATAAATAACTTTGTTTCTGCGAAGTTATGCAACCCAACACCCTACTGAATATAATCCATTCAAAGAATACACATAACACCAAGCATATCATTTCCCTATACTAATAACTGCAAATCTAACAAAAAATGTACATAAATATATAAAAGTAATTAACACAAATAAAAATGTACATAATCATATGAAGTAATACACATAAACCATATAATGAATACACATAAACTTTTAAAACAGTGCACATACTAATAAAAAAAAGTCTGACAAATATTTTGTTTCTGCTAATTTATACAATCAAACATCCTACTGAATATAATCCATGCACGGAATACACATAGGACCAAGCATTATTAAGGATTAGTATTATTAGTGGTTATTATTATTTATTTCTCTTGTGTTTAAATTCTATGGCTCACCTTATTATTCTCCCTTATTAGCTTGCACATAGATAGCTAGCAGTTAGCATATTTCTTCATGTATATAAAGGGTTGTAAAGTATGAATAGAATGATCAGTTTTCACTTCCATTATACTTCTATATGGTATCAAGAGCAGGAAATTTCTAGCGAAATCTATTTCCTATATTTTTTTTTCCTGGGTTTTATTCTTCTGTCCATTCATGGCCACTAGTACAAAAACTTCACCCATTATTCAATTAACTGCACCTGCGAATTTTCCCATCCGACTCACAACATCAAATTATTCAGTTTGGCGAAACAAATCCAATCCGCATTGATTGGTCGTAAAAATGTCACATGCAGGTTCTGTAATATTTATGGCCATGAAGTGCGAGACTGTCGGAAGCTTATGCGGTTTCTTCGTGATAATAATGTTAACATGAACAACTTTGGGCAACAGCCGGCCGTGATCAATGCTACAGCATCACCTCATACTGGTTCGCAACAATGGTTGTTCGATTCTGGTGCCTCGCACCATGCTGCTTCATCACCCTCATTATTGCAGTCAGTCTCTGATTATGGTGGGCCTGACGAGATCCAACTTGGTGACGGTAAAACTCTTCAAATTACTCACACCGGTCACACTGCTATCCCAACACCAACTTGTCATTTACAACTCTCTAATGTTCTTTGTGTCCCGAAGTTACAAAAAAATTTGATTTCTATTTCCAAGTTGTGCAAAACTAATAATGTGTCAGTTGAGTTTTTTGATTCCTGTTTTCTTGTGAAGGATCGACTCACAGGGGCGCCACTAATGCAAGGGAGGAACGTGCATGATGTTTACGGGGCTTGGCTTCCTTCGTCTCCTCAGATAAATATGATCACTAAACCCTCTTTATCGTCTTGGCATCACATTTTTTGTCATCCTTCCAACAGAGCTTTCGGTGCCTTGCTCAGACATAATAATGTTCCCACTATCTCACTTTCCAATTTTTATTGCTCGTCCTATTTATTAAATAAGTCTCACAAATTGCCTTTTGCTCATAACACTTTATCTAGTAATAATCCGCTTGAATTGCTTTACACTGATGTTTGGAGTACATCTGAAAAATCCATTGACGGTTATTACTATTATATTATTTTTGTTGATCATTTTACAAAATATATTTGGTTTTATCCCTTAAAGAAAAAGTCTGATGTCTATGATGTGTTTGTGCAATTCAAGACACTAGTTGAAAATCGCCTTAACCGAAAAATTATTACTGTGTTTTCTGACAATGGTGGGGAATTTGTTAAATTGACACCTTTCTTCAGTTCCTGTGTAATTTCACATCTTACGAGTCCTCCACACACACCAGAACATAACGGGCTAGCTGAATGACGCCATAGACATATAGTAGAAACGGGGTTGTCGTTACTCGATTTTGCGTCTATGCCCCGTACATATTGGTCTTATTCATTTCAGACAGCCGTTTACCTTATAAACCGAATGCCAACAATAAATCTCATGCATAAATCACCCTTTGAACTTCTATTTGGAATGACACCAAATTACAAAAAATTAAAACCTTTTGGGTGTTTATGTTTCCCTTGGCTCAAGCCATACACCAACACTAAACTCCAGCAAAAATCAATATCTTGTGTTTTTTTAGGATACTCTTTGTCCCAGTCAGGTTATAAATGTCTTGATCCAAAAACAGGTCGGGTCTATATATCTCGTCATGTGCGGTTTATTAATCATGTGTTTCCGTACAGCCAAGCACGTACAACTCCAGCCGTACCTCCCACTGTAAGTGCGTCCTATCACTCCTCAGATACTGTTAATTTTAATTCTTATCATCAACCTATTTTTCCATATGCGGTGGCTAATTCGCAGATTCCGTATTCTGCTAACTCCGACCAACCAGTCAGATGTCTCCCTCCGTTTCAACCTGCTTCCACTGCTCCAATCACAGAGAGTACTCCCACCGACCAGCCACCACCTCCCACCGCTCCGCTGTCACAACCTTCCACCGCCCATTTGCCACTTTCTTCTACTGTTCAGCCGCAACCTGCGGAGTCTACTGCCCAGCCATCACCTGCAGCGTCCACCACCCAACCAACATCAGTTTCCACCGCCCAGCCACCTCTTACAGTTGAGCCGCCACCTACTTCTACCGATACGCAGGTTCGGCGATCAACGAGAGTACGAAAACCAAACCCAAAGTACTTTGACTATAAAACCATTAACTTTGCCGCTAATCACCCGATTCCAGAACCGGTTGAGCCTACCTGTGTCACCCAAGCCAAGAAGGATCCTCGTTGGAAACAATCCATGGATGATGAGTTTGCTGCACTTCTCAAAAATGGGACGTGGGAACTGGTACCACCACCGAAGCGACCTCCGATTGGTTGCAAATGGGTCTTTAGAGTTAAACGAAAACCAGATGGAATGGTTGACAGATTCAAGGCTCGCCTGGTTGCTAAAGGATACCTACAAGAACCAGGGAGGGACTACTTTGATACTTTCAGTCCCGTGGCAAAGCCAGCTACGATACGTATTGTCCTTACCTTGGCGTTGGCCTACAATTGGTCCCTACGGCTGTTGGATGTTAATAATGCATTTTTGCATGGCACCTTGTCTGAAGAGGTTTATATGAAGCAGCCACCGGGGTATTGTGATCCCAAATATCCTACTTTTGTGTGTCGCCTTAAAAAGGCTCTGTACGGTCTTAAGCAGGCGCCTCGGGCGTGGTATATGGAGCTCTCCAAATATTTGATTGAATTTGGTTTCCGCAAATCCCGTGCATATTATTCTCTGTTCATTTATCAGTCTAATGATGCCTTAATTTATTTTATGGTGTATGTAGATGACATTGTAGTCACAGGAAATTCAAATGAATTGTTGGATCGTTTTGTTTCCTGCTTAGCGCAGCGGTTTTCAGTTAAAGACTTAGGGGCGTTACACCATTTTCTTGGCGTTGAGGTAATTCCCGCTGCGAATGGCTTGTTCTTGTCTCAATCGCAGTATATTATTGATATCTTGAAAGAGGTTGACATGCATGAAGCCAAGAGTGTGCATACACCTATTGGGTCTTCGGTTGACTTATTCCGGCCGAAGGATCATACTGCTACTTCTACTGATGCTACGGTATATCGAAGGGTAATTGGTCTTTTACAATATCTTTCAATTACTCGTCCTGATATCGGCTATGTTATAAATTGCCTTTCACAATTTATGCACAATCCTCTATTAATTCATTGGCAAGTGGTCAAACGAGTGTTACGTTACTTAAAGGGAACCGTGTTTCATGGGTTGCTTCTACGCCGTAGCACTCGGTTACATCTTGCTGCTTTCTCAGATTCAGATTGGGGTGGTGTTCATGATGGTGGTCGGTCTACGACTGGTTATGTTTTATTCTTGGGGTCCAATGTAATTTCTTGGCGCTCGGTTCGACAGAAGGCAGTAGCTCGTTCTTCTACGGAAGCAGAATATCGAGCTTTAGCAAATGCGGCGGCTGAGGTTATTTGGGTACACAATTTATTGTAGGATACGGGGGTTGTTCTACCTCAATCTCCGGTGTTGCACTGTGACAATTTGAGTGCTACGTATGTCTGTCAAAATTCGGTGTATCATTCAAGGATGAAGCATCTTGCGTTGGACTATTTCTTTGTTCGGGATCATATTGTAAATGGTACACTTCGTGTGCAACATGTTCCGACTACTTCCCAAATTGCTGATATTCTCACAAAGGGCTTGGGAAGACGATCGTTTGAGCATTTTCGTACCAAGATGGGAATCACTGACGGCTCCTCCATCTTGCGAGGGCGTATTAAGGATTAGTATTATTAGTGGTTATTATTATTTATTTCTCTTGTGTTTAAATTCTATGGCTCACCTTATTATTCTCCCTTATTAGCTTGCACATAGATAGCTAGCTGTTAGCATATTTCTTCATGTATATAAAGGGTTGTAAAGTATGAATAGAATGATTAGTTCTCACTTCCATTATACTTCTATAAGCATATCATTTCCCTATACTGATAACTGCAAATCTAAAAAAAAATGTACATAAATATATAAAAGTAATTAACACAAATAAAAATGTACATAATCATATGAAGTAATACACATAAACTATATAATGAATACACATAAACTTTTAAAACAACACAAATTATAATAAATGTCTATTTTATTACTGCTGAGTTATATGATTCAACATCCTTCTGTACATGATACATATAACTACGATGATTAACACTAACATATGCTTTAATTATTCTCCATACTTCACATTGTGCTAACATGACAAAAATTAGAACCTCCGAAACTTGGATGCACAAGATATCCATCACCAGCAATATTTAAAATATCATCCTCAACTTGAGACTGAACAGCAGATTTTATTTTGGAAGCAACCATATGTGCAAGATGCTTCTGTCCCCTTGCTTTGTTATATTTCTTTGAAATAACACTGCTCATCTTCGTATTTCGCAACCCTTTCATCCGCCTAGTAGATGGATCCTTTATAACACCACTTGACGATCCTATGTCACATTCTCCAAATAAATTACCACCACATTCAGCTTCAAGTCTTCTCTTTGCATCTGCAATTGCTTCTTCACAAATCTTCCGTCCTTCGATATTTTCCTGATTGTAAACAGCTAAGCCTCTGAAATTTCCTAATGATTTCTAATAACCAAACAGAAGATGCACCATTACCACTATCAACTCTAGACATTATATCAAAATTATCAACTTCAACGACTTTTTTAGTCCACCTCTTCAAAATATACTTCTCAGGAACTTCAGAAACACAATGCACATTTAGAATGCGTAAACAATGACAACACAAAATCATCAATTCAGTGAACAACTTGCAACTACATCCAATGTCCATTTGTCTATTGTTAAAGATCACTTCATGCCTAATAATATCAACATTAGGCCTCCAAACATGATACTTGTACACACCATCTTCCAACATCACACACTCTTGATAGCATGATCCACCTTTTAAAAATTGTTCTTCAAACAAATAGTATATCTCAATTGTATAAATTTCCCTAACATGCAACAAAATCTTAACATTATCCATCACCATTATAGGTACACCTTGTGAACATCGAACATCTTCCCCATTCTCTCTACTTCTCCACTCTGATATAACCCCAACAAATGTGTTATAAAAATCACACAGTCCGATGTCTTAGACAACCTTCTAGAAATAGAGTGGTTTGTGGTCTCACTCCTTTGAGAAGATAAAATCCCACCCGAAAAATAATCTTTATTAAATGCAGGACAGCATTTTTCTCTACACCCATAAAGCTTTTCAATCCAATGATTATTGTGACATTTATATGTTGTAACCATCCTGAAATAACATGCCATAAATATATTAAAGTAAACCTACAAGCATATCAGGATATCACATACAGAACCGACTAATATACATAATCTTATACATGAATACACATAAACTATCAAATAAATACACATAAACTTGATCCAAAAAATTAATTCTGTATTCTGTAAAATATAATCTAAAAATAGTCATTCAATGATAAGCCAATATAAACTAATAATATAAAAAAGAAAAATAACGAAGCATAAATCAGACACATACCTTGTCCAGTAAAATTCAAACTCTGCCTCTGTATGCATATACTCCAACAAACAATTGAATATATCTAAGAAATCTTTTTGATTTCTTAACCCTTTAATGTGCTTCTTTGAGTTCTCACCAATATGCCATATACATAGCCGATGTCGTGAACTTGGAAAAACTTGAACAATTGCAGCAGCCATAACAGCACATTGATCAGTCATTATACTTTGTGGACTTTTGTAATCCATAGATCTCAAAAATGTCTTAAACAACCATACAAATGACTCAGTCTTCTCATTCATAAAAAAAACCGCATCCAAACATGACATTCTTGCAATGGTGATTCATGCCAACAAAAGGTCCACAAATCATGTCATATTTGTTAGTACGATATGTTGTATCGTGAACTAAGTCCCCAAACAAATCATAATCTCTTCTCATTCGTCCATCCCTCCAAAAAAAACTACACAACCTTGACTCCAAATCCACCTCAAAATCAAAGTAAAAATCCCTTTCACTTGACTGCCTCCGTTTGAATATTTCAATCAGTGTGTTTGAATCAGTCCCATCCAATTTGTTCAATGCATCGGTACATAAAGAGTTATATGCATCCCTACTTGTAAAACCAACAAGTGGTGATCCCCCTGATTGTGTTTTAAGGAATCTTACACCATCTGCAACAGACACACCACTGCTCTTCAAATCAGTAAGATAGGAAATATGATTCCTAGACACCATCCTATGTGACCTTAGAAGGTAACTCTTGCTTGGTGGAACCAATTCATGATTATGCAACTTCTCATGCTTCGAAACAATCCACATCCCATTCTCATGTAAATCGAATTGGATAAATGCACCGCAACCTGTACGACCATCAATTTTAGAATAACACCATTTTCCTGTAATCCTTTTAAATCCATCATTCGAACAATGAAACATCTTCGTCTTCATTGTTTTTGTAGCAGAAGTATATCTTTGCTTACCCCTCCTCGCACTAAAACCTACTCTAAAAGCATAGTCATTATACATGTCATATGCTTCATCAACCGAAAACACTGACATCCCTACCAAATCCTGATCAGCTGCAAACCACATACAGTTTAAATACCCCTACTATTAATGTACATAATCCATAACTATAATACACATAAACACATGGCACAATATACATAATCATAAATGCATAAAATATATTTTCAGTCCATCTTACTATGACATTCAATCCTAAAATCTACACAATTGCATAAAAAAAACGCACAAATCAAACCATATAATGCACATAAAACATCCCTAGATCAACATCTTCAAGTTAGACCATACTAACATCCAATACAAACACAATCAAAAATAGCAATCCTATACCAATTCTTATATAATTCAACGAATCAATATCCCATGCGAATTCAATAATATTCATCACACAGCAAACAAATACAAAATAATCTTAAAAATCAAATATAAAAACCTAGATTAACATTCTCTCTATCTGCCACTCCAACCGGATCAGTTAATTGCTCTGTCTCCGCCACATGCTGCTGCGCAATCGATTCATCCATGACTTACATCCAACAATTGCGAAATATAGAGCAAATCGCAAAGATCAGCTCGATTAAGATGGTCGTCCCTACAGTGTTTCTAATCCAACAGACATGTTCGACACCATCACTTTAGAAACCCTCGCTCACTTCCCTCTTCTTAAAACTTTACGGCAGTAACGGAACAATAAAAAAAAAAAGCCGTTACTTACCAATTCCATACGGCATCGTATTGAAGCTGGGCGCACATAGAGTCATACGTCGGGGTGTATGGTATAAACACGTCTAATTTGTTATCTTAGCTTCCATTTCCTTAATAACTTTAGGAATTGAACATCGAACCTTTGATATTTTAATTTAAAGTTAAAACTTAACGTTATTTGACCATAATACCCTTTTAAAATGTACCACAATTTTTTCTTTTAAAATTTGCTATCATCGACACGTGTCTAAAGTCTTTAAATACCCATGATCCAGTGGGAAACTTTAAATGCCACACATTTTTCTTTTGGCATCACATTTATATTACGGAGTACTATTTTGCTTGCTAGTAGGTCATCTCATCTGATCGGAGTCTATATAATTGTACAGATACTACATTGTAATAGAGTCAATAGTATTTGAATAAAGATAAAAAATTATTATTTTATAAAAATCACATTCTCTAATTAAAAAGGGGCCGGGTATCAATCCATCTTATTGGTAATATAATTTTTAAGTTTGGATTAGTACTATTAGATTTTTGTTTTGATTTTTTTGTTCATATTGATGCTTTGGATGCCATATATTAGAATCAATTACCTTAATTTTTTATTTTTATATTTTTAAAACATTTATTTTCATTATAGGTCATACACAACCAAACATCAATACTGATAATCATTCCAATTCCACTCTACTACCAATTCAAACATGTAAAATACTTTCACAAACACCATTACCATTACCAAATATTTAATTCACATTTCGATTTCTATTCCCATATCCAAACCAAACACACCCTTAGATCTCATAACCTCATCTACTTTCCAGTGGGAATCTTTAAAAATTTCGCACCTTTTTCCACCACATTTATGTTTCTACCGTACTATTTTGGCTAATAGTAATATGAGTATATTTATTTGAGTGCATGTGCCTGCAACTTCATAGACCATAGACACCAAATCAAATGCATATTTATCTCTGGTATCTCAAAATGGAGACAACAGCATTCTAACCAAATTTGCATTTATTTTAGGTGGATAAAAGTTAGACTAAATAACTTTCAAAATTATGTATTAATGTATGATAAAAGATCATAAAAAATTTGTCTTATAAGTGCTTGTTTATAAGATTTTAGGCCAAAATCATGGTGGAAGTCAAGTTAATAATTTTTAATTTTCATATCACGACTGTCATTCTGTTGATCTTAGGCTTGATCAGCAGCGTGATAATTGAATTTCACTCCAAACTCAACTTGTTTTTATCCCATGACACGTCTAATTTGTTATCTTCTATTTCCTTAATAACTTTAGGAATTGAACATCGAACCTTTGACATTTTAATTTAAAGTTAAAACTTAACGTTATTTGATCACAATACCCTTTTAAAATGTACCACAATTTTTTCTTTTAAAATTTGCTACCATCGACACGTGTCTATCGTCATTAAATACCCTTTTAAAATGTATCACCAATTTTTCTTTTAAAATTTGCTACCATCAACACGTGTCTATTGTCATTATATACCCATAGGTGGGAAGCTAAGCTTTAAATGCCACACTGCACGTTTTTGTTTTGGCATCACATCACATTTATATATGTTACGCCGTACTATATATTTTGCCTACTATATAATTGAGTGTTTTTGCCCTTCCCTAAGCACCAAACCAAACACACTTATCTTTATATCTCTGGTCTCAATCAAAATGAAGACAGCAATAATCCTTTTAGTTTTCTCCGGCATTGCCATTTCTTTCCTTCCGCTGGCCATCTCCGGCCTTCCTCCACTCATCCGCCTCCCCACAAAGGCCGACGGAACCAACGCCATCTTAGACGCGGCCGGCAACCCAGTCATCGCCGGAGCCAAATACTACGCCATCCCAGCCGTCATCGGCGTGGACGGCGGCATAAGCGTGGCTAACTCGGACACAGGAAACCCCTCCACCTGCCCCACCGACGTAGTAATAAACATCACATTAGCCGGCATGCAACCTCCCGCCGTGCGTCGTCCTTTAAGTTTCTACCCTCTAAAGCGCGAGGGCGGCGACGCCGTCATCATATCGCAGTACCCACTGAACGTTGCCTTCGACTCGCCGGACCCATCTGATCCCTGTGCTGAGGAGAATGTTTGGAAGCTTAATTATCAGGCGATGATAGTGACCGGTGGCGTTATAGACAAGGAGGATGATATTGGGAACTGGTTTAGGATTCAGAAGAATATTAATGGAAGAGGGTACCTTTTCACCTGGTGGCCGAGCCTTTGCCTTGGGTGCAGGATTGGTTACTTTCGTATTGGCAGAGTCGGCAATGGATATCAGCTGGGAATCAACTACAACGACGAATCGCTATATGCTTTTGAATTCCTAAAGGTTGATGAGTGATCAAAGCCGTACCAACGTTACGTTGAACCATCTATCATATCTATCATCATCTATCAATAGACAATAATAATAATTAACGTTTAAATAATGGGCATGACTTTGCCACCCGGTTATGGAAAGCCTACGGCATATGTATGATAGATGTATCCCATAATTGCAATTGTGTGCAATATAAATTAAATATATAATAAATAAACTTTCTTTCTATTTATGAAATAATTATTTACAAAATCACTGTTGGAAATTTATATAGTAATGGAGATTACTTTTTCCAACAATTACCTATATTAATGATAATACAAAATGTGCATGCGTTGGAATAAATTATCCATCTTTAACTTGTAACTTATTATAATAAAAATAAATACATAAATTAATAAATATAATAATTTTGAGCTATATAAATTTAAGAAAAATTTGTAAGTTTTTGGGATGTGCATGCGTTGGAATGGACCAAGAATTTTATTGTTCGGTTCTTCTTGGCCTAACTAATATTTAATCAACCATTAATTAATATAATAATTCTGAATTAAATTACCTTAACAGTAAAAATTGTTGTCTATTGAGTGTTATTGAAAAGTCACACACATAGACAATATTTTAAACCGTTGTCTATTGAGTGTGTTGGAAATATTCCATTCAAAGAAGCAACACATATTTTGGATAGTCACTAATGACTTGTCTTTACTTGCGTACAAAGGAGTGGCTGCATGGTTTGCTCATTCCCACCCCCTAATTTCTAGCTAATGTGGGGATGGAATGAGTTGAAATCTCCCCTACTCTACAGTATATAAAGGATCAAGCTGTTTTGTCTAAACACACTCAACATTAAAGCTTCTTCCTTCTTTCTCAGCTCGTGTGAGAATTAATATATATATATATATAATTTCGTGTCTGCCTATTAAAGTCTGAGCAATAGTGAAGTTCGCCTACGTGATTACTAGTGCAAGCTATCCGTAGTAGGTCTGTGTAGCCTGTCGAAAACGTGTCAGGGTTCTAACTGCACAGTTACCGGGCAACTGCACCGATTCCGGGCAAATAACGCTTTTAAGGTAGTGTTATTATAACACGGCACAGATTTTCTTTCAACCATACACCGTTGTGTCTGTGCTTCTTAAAAGACTTCCTTATCGCACGTTGACGTTGCGACTATTTTCCAACAGAGTGTTGTTGAAAATCACACGTATAGACAATAGTTTTTAACCGTTATTTTTTATATATAAAACTACAGTTTTTAACCTTTTTCAATGAGCAAGTAATACCACCTACAGCTAATACAAGGCAGTAAAGCGAAACGTTTACGGTACAAGGTAACCGCTCTGATACCACTTGTTGGTCCCGGTAGGGTCGAAAGGAGTGTCTAGGGGGGGGGGGGGTGAATAGAATCTACTCGATTTTTGAGAGCAACTCCTTTCGGAGTGGTTCACAGCGGAATAAATGGTTTGTTTTAATTTGAACTTTGCACAGTTTCGCTATGAAGAATTATAGTTCGGTCAGTATGAAATGTAATGCATGAAAGATAATCAACTGAAAATAAAGAGAGATGGAGAGAAAGATTTTTATAGTGGTTCGGCTGTTAACGAAGCCTACTCCACTCTTCTTCCACAACATGTGAAAGGGTTTGCACTATCACTCCTAGTACAAACTATTTCAAGCTAGTTTCCTTGATCACTAAGCCGGACAGCTACTTGGAAGGTTTTTCAACTCCTCGAGTTTACTCTACCTCTATCAACTTCTTCCTCAGGGTGAGTGTTGGAAAGATTATGTCGAGTTCCTCCAACTGGTTGAAGTCTTGTCTTGGTGACTGAATAAATCTTCAAGTGTGAAAAGATGCAAGACATTTTCAAGCTTGTGAAGAGTAGATGTAAGCTAAGATTATCATTTATGAATTCTTCACAAATATATCACGCTGATCAAGAAATGCTTATGAATAAACTAGTTTTAAAGAGCTTTTCTAATGATAAAATCTGCTGAACGATCAGACACTTCTTCAATGGAGAAGAGAGGTATTCATAGGGGAGGACCAGTGGGCATGGAGCATTTAATTAGGCTGTACTGTGTAGCCGTGGATGATAAAAAGGACTATGGCTTTTTATCCTTTTCTCTGCCAAGATGGTACTAATCATTTAATGCTCCTTGGCTTTTGTGAATATCATTCCTAGGACACCTTTTGTTTAGAATGGTTGCCCAGCTGTGAGACATAGACAACATTCTTATTGCTTCACTTAGTGAAAGTTGTAACACCCCGAAATTTTTCAACTTTTATGACTTATATAATAAAGGTAAATTATCATTAAATCCCAAAACAATATATAGTAGAGTACGGGGTGCTATGCCACACCTGGGCTAGAGAACCCAGGTGCACAGGCTAACTAACTAATATCCTCGATAATGTAAATACATAAGCATGGCACACAGGCCGAAAGGGAAACTATCTACTCTATGCTCCAAATCTCTAGCGCGCTCCAGTGTCTACTCCTCTGTGCCTGAAAGCCAAATATATCTGTTCAGCGAGAGATGCTGGTAACCCACTCCAACGCGTTGAAATATAGTATATATATATATATATATATATATATATATATATATATATATATATATATATATAGATATACAAAAATCATTTCGAAGCAGGAAGATATATACTTAAGAGACACTAGTTTTAAAACCAGGAATAGACTCAGCAAATAGGGATAAGCATATCAGACAATAATAACAACATCATGAGGAATACGCATTTACGGTCACAAGCCACTTCTCAATTCCAATCCACATTATCATCCAAACATCATTCATATCACATAATCATCGATGGCGCCAAGGGACCAATCGCATGCCCCGAACAGGAGGGTTAATGCCTATAGCATTAACACGGCCCCGCAGCACCCTACTTCAGTACCGTAGTACGAGGGGAGTTGATCGCAACCAACCCTTGGAGAACCGCTGACGAACTCTACGTCGGACCACGATCTGACACACCGCTGATGCGCCCAGTCGGTGGACCGTGATCCCCTTTACAAGGGGGGGACTTACGACCCTACACACCGTTGGTGCGCACAATCGGCGGGCCGTAGCGGATCAAGCCCGACACACCGCTGAGCTAAACTCAGTCGGTGGACAAAGATCCTCGGAGACTACGGTCCTACATACCGATGTCCCACCACTTGGTGGGTCGCAGCCAGTCGTAGCCCTACACACCGCCTGATTACTCAGGTCGGTGGACTACAACCTTCCTCGGCTTGTTGGCCCCATACCGCCTGGCGCATCCCGGTCGATGGGTCATATCACCGAGGCCCATGTGGACCTTCAGTCCTACACATAATCTTTATATACCTGACCGGTCTCTACCAGCCTGGTTAACAGTTGGGATGGTTCTCAACCCATTCAACTGCCCGTATAGTGGACCTCAGTCCTATATCACATCAATATCCCTGACCGATCTTAACCGGCCTGGTTAACAGTTGGGATGGTTCTCAGCCCATTCAACTGCCTGTATAGCCCAATTGGTCTTAACCAAGTTGGGGTCTGCATCACGTAACACACAATAGCACATAATGACACATTAATCACATAGGGAAGGGGGAACATATAATTAAGCTTACATGTGATCATTCACACACTAAGAATAGTTCCTAAAGGCTCATATAACTTCCACCTAGGTCCACGGGTTACCAATTCAACTAGCATGCAATTCCTAAGACTCGTTTAACCTACGAATAGTACCCGAAATTACAAACTATACTCAGGCACGACAAACGGGGTCCGTTGGGACACCATGGGGGACAGGGAACATCAAACGGGGAAGCCGGGGACCCAGGGTGGGGTGTGGACCAGCGGGTAGCCGGTGGGTGGGGTCACCCGCCGGTGGGCGCTGTTCCGGGCAGCGGGTAGTTGTTAGTTGTTAATCACATAGTAAATGGTTGTTAGCTGGTAGTTGTTAGTTGTTAGTTGTTAGTTGATTGGATTAATTAGAAGGTATAACTAGTTGATAACATTAGTTGATTGTAGAAAGGTGTTTGGTAAATTAGCTGTTAGCTGATAGCTGTTTGGTATAGTTTCTTTTTTTCTAAAAGCTAATTGAAAAAGTTGTTTTGAGTAGCTTTTTGAATTTTAGCATTTTGGAGTACAAAAAATTAATTAGCCAAATCCTTATATTGATTTTTAAACCAAGTCAAATAACTAATAGTGATCAAATAAGTCAAAATTAGCCTATAGGCTAACTATTTTTACCAAACAGGGCCATAATGCAATTTAAGCTGTAAATAAATAAATAAATAAATATATATATATATATATGCTAGTTTTTTGACGCGCTTTGAGCGATGAGATAATGCCCAATAATATATAGGAGATGTTTATGCATAGGTAAATCAATGTTGAATTTGTTCATTGAATTGGTAATTTAAAGTATATAAATGCAAGATAATATATGAGATATTGATTATAAATATCACTAAAATAAATGTTTGCAACTTTATAATAACGCTAGTCTAAATACTTAGTCCAAAAACGATAGTCTAAAATAAATACTACTTTTAGTTTAAATTTTTCTAATTCTTCTTAATTCTCTTTTGGTAGCATTGTCATTGTCTTCATCTTCAGTACATGTTGTCTTTTTTATTTTATTTTTTATTAGTAGTGTGTCGTGTGCAATTGGATTACTGGTGGTACCGCATAGAGGGATACATCGTGCAATAAGATTATAGTGTAGGAAGCTTTAGATTTCCCTTGTTGTGTATATGACTGGGATACTATTACTTTTTATCTTACAAGGACATATTGATATTTGGTTGTGGTAGTTCTTCCTCTACATATTTCATGTGGTGTGAGATGTGTATTGTAGATTATCATATGAAAGTATTGAACAAAATATTAATATTTATTATATTTATATAAAATACTTAGTAAATAAATATATATAACTTATTTTGTCTTATAACTTTGATATCTAATTACAAGATAATGTAAAAAGAAGATAATAGACAATGTAGTGAATATAATAAATTTATAAATTTGAAGGTAACTAGTCTTTGAATTGTAGAAAACAAAGATAAAATAACTAATGAAATTATATCTCTTTTTAAATTTTTTGTAATGAAATATTTTTTTTTTAAATAAAGGCATTATAGACATCTAATTAAAATTTTTTTTTTTGAAAATTATATGGGTGCTTCATTAGAAAAAGGCTGAAATAATGTCTGGTGGGTGCATATCCCAGTACATAGCAGCAAGTTGCTGATAAGCCGAAGTAGCTAATGCATGAGCTAAATAATTATCTGATCTAGCAATAAATCTAAATGAACAATACTGAAATAAAGTGGCAATTTGCCTGCAGCCGTCAATAGCATAGCCCACATAGGAGCGAAACGCAGCGGTTGGTGTTGTAAGATAGCGTTGCAATGTCAAGCAATCTGTGTATAACTCAATATTCTGCTCCCCTCTTTCCTTCAACCATGATAAAGCCTCTTTGCATGCCAAAGCTTCGGCCATAAGAGGTGAGACACAAGTTGGTAACGGTGCATTGAAGGCCGCAATATATCCTCCATTTACATCGAACAAAACAGCCCCTACAGTGGCCTTCCCCGTGTCGTGTAAATACCCTGCGTCAACCCGACATCTTCTCAAATTTGGCACATAATGTTCGGCAATCAAAGTGGTCCCCCTGTCGGCAGCACTCTCGGCAGCGTGGCTTATGGCAGTGGCGGGCGCGGGCGGTGCTCTTGGCGGACGGATGGGGCGTGCTAGGAGCCATGCATCTTTGGCAGTCACGGCGGCTCGGAGTAGCGAGTTTGGCCGTGGCAGGCATGCCTCCCATACCGCTCGATTTCGTGCTCTCCAAATGTTGTATAGAATTGATGCTGCATATAACATTCCATCAGAATCTAAAACATTTTGAAGTTCCTCAAACCAAACATGAAAAATATTCGTGACAATGTTGGGGATTGTAAGGTTGGATTGTTCCCAAATGGTCCTTGCAAAATCACACAAGACTAAAGCATGCATTGTATCTTCTTGTGATATCCCACACATGGCACAATAAGGGCTCACATCAACCCTCTTTATAAGCAAGTTTGTAGTAGTGGGCAATATATCAAAAATGGCTCTCCACAGAAACATTCTCCATTTTGGGGGTATTTTGAGTCGCCACAAGGCTAGCCAATTCACAAAATCTCCCCCTTGACTCTCATAGTCCCCCACTATACGCCTGTATCCACTCTTCACAGAATATAGACCTTTTGGGTCTCCATGCCAATACCATGTATCACTATAGTCCAGGGAGACAGGTATTCTCATAATTCTTCCTACATCTTCAGGTTGGAATAAATCTGTTAGAATATCATTATCCCATGTTCCTGTTTGCTGGTCAATTAACCCCATTACTCTGGCCCCTTGTTTACTGGCATTTCCGTTTGTATCATAGGGTCCTGTTCATCTTGCAACCAGGGGTGGGTCCATATAAACGTAGATTCCCCATTTCCTATTCTTCGTCTCACCCCACTACAAATTATACTCTTTGCTGCCATAATGCTCCGCCAACAAAAACTGGGGTTATTTCCTACCTGTGCATCAAAAAACGTTCCCGTAGGGAAATACCGGGCTTTATAGACACGAGCCACTAAAGAGTCAGGTTTAGTGAGCATTCGCCATGCCTGCTTCCCCAACATTGCCAGATTAAATGCACGTAAATCCTTAAATCCCAACCCACCATACTTTTTTGGGACACACAATTTATCCCAAGCCTTCCAGTGTATCCGTCTATCAATTCCAGAGTCCCACCAATATCTATTCATGGTCCTCTCAGTTGCCGTACATACTGATATAGGTAGCAAAAAAACACTCATTGAGAAGGTAGGCATAGATTGTGCTACACTTTTCAATAGTATCTCTTTACCTGCTTGGGATAGTAATCTTTTATTCCAAGACCCAATCCTTTGGCGTATTTTATCCTCAATATAGGCAAAAGCTGCCTTCTTATTCCTTCCCACGAAAGAAGGTAGGCCCAAATATTTGCCAAAATTCGGAGCTTGTGCTACCCCCAAAGCCTGAGCCACATTATCCCTGTCAATAATCCTTGTATTTTTGCTATAGCAAATATTTGACTTGTGGTAGTTGACAACGTGCCCAGATAGGCTTTCATATTCTGACAGACATTTCTTTACCCCATTCGCCTCCTCCTCATTAGCTTTGAAAAATAGTAGACTATCATCCGCAAAGAATAAATGAGAGACCTGGGGGGGCACCTCTTGCCACCCTACATCCATGAATCAGTCCCTCCCTGTTAGCCTGTTGCAACATAAGAGAAAGACCCTCTGCACAGATAATAAATAAGTATGGGGATAACGGATCTCCCTGTCTGAGACCACGAGTAGGTATAATTGGATCACTCCTAGAGCCATTCACCAGGATACTGTAGGAAACCGTAGTTACACATTTCATGACCAAATCCACCCAGTTATTATGAAAACCTAGCGCCCTCATCATGTTACGAAGATAGGGCCACTCCATCCGCTCATAAGCTTTTGCCATATCTAGCTTAAGTGCACCCCATCCCCCTAATCCACACTGTTTTCTATTCAGAAAATGGCCTACCTCTGCGGCTAGCAAAATGTTATCCGTTATCAACCTGTCCGGAATAAAAGCACTCTGTGACTCAGATATTATCCCATCCATCAATGGTTTCATTCTATTAGACATCATCTTCGCAATTATTCTATAGACCACATTACTAAGAGCTATAGGGCGCAGGTCTGTTACCAACTCCGGATTATTCTTCTTTGGGATCAGCACAATATCCGTATTGTTTAAATCAGGCGGAAGTTCACCCGATTCAAGACAATTAATCACAAAACTCGCCACATCCCCTCCCACTACATCCCAAAAATGCTGATAAAAACCCGGATTCATTCCATCCGGGCCTGGAGCCTTATCAGGATACATTGCAAATAATGCATCTTTTACCTCCTCCACAGTGAAGGGCTGTAATAAGGAGTCATTCTGTGCCTGTGATACCCGCTGCTCTACTTTCCCAAAAAAACTCCTCCCCTGCCCCCGGATTCCCAGAGGTGAAAATATTATTGAAATAATCCAGAATATTTTTCCTCATAAGTTCCCCTTCCAACCAATCCCCATTGTCATTCATTAACTTAGATATAGTATTCTTTTTCTTTCGGTGCGAGGCATACCTGTGAAAAAATTTCGTATTGGTGTCAGCCTCCTTGAGCCAGTGCTGCTTGGTTCTCTGCCTCCAATATGCATCCTCCTGGGCTTCTGTTCTGCTTAAAAGTTCCTCAATGCGCTGGAATTCAGCAAGCGAGGCCGCGTCAGTACGACCCCTCAACCGTTCCTGGTCCCTTTTCAACATTAAAATTTGTTTCCCATACTTATGGAACCGATCCCCACCCCAGCGTGTTAACCGGTTTCCACAGTACTGAATACAATCTTGCAATCCCTGCCCCCTTCCCTAGTGCCATGCCTGCTCCACCACCCCCCTACATCCATCATCATACAACCAGGCCATCTCAAAGCGAAACCCCCTCCTCCTACCTCCATACGCCTCTACTCCCTCATGAATTCCACAGAAAATAGCCGAGTGATCTGATTTCCTGGTTCTCAAATTCGTAACCTTAGCATAGGGAACCACGTTACGCCACTCATTCGTCACCAGAACCTTGTCAAGCCTTTCCTCTATCCAATTCGCAGTTCCTTTCCCCTTCTCCCAGGTATATGGGTACCCCACCATCGGCAGTTGTGCCAGACCACAATCCTCGAGTGTTTCCCCAAATCCTCGTAAAAGGCTATTCGGATGCGGGTTTCCCCCCCTCTTCTCGTACTGATATAGTAAGTCATTAAAATCCCCCACCACAATCCAAGGAAGATCCGATTTCGCCGCAAGCGTCCTCAATAAGTCCCAAGACTCGGCACGTCGATTACGTTGTGAGAAGCCATAATAACATGTCATCCTCCAGTGTGGATAACCTGCCATAGTTACTTCAACATCAACATAGTTCTTCGAGTAACTAAGTAATCTTGCCGTACTATTCTTCTTCCACAATAACGCTAATCCACCACTTAAGCCATCATTATCAACATAGAACAATCCTTCAAACCCCATCGTAACGCGAAGTCGCTCCGCATGATCTCTTGCCACTTTAGTTTCCATAAGAAATACAAAATCGGGTTGCTTACGGGACACCATGTCCACTACCTCCCGAACTGTCCATGGATTACCCAAGCCACGGCAGTTCCAACTCAGCATACTCATTGGCTTGGGCGGGTCTGTGATCCAGAACCCGCCATAAACAAGTTTTTTGAGCTGTCCAACATTGTCACATCAGCACTATCCCCCTCCTGCTCCCGGCGGCGCTTAGCCACCACAGTCACCACATCCTCACCCTCCCTCCTCTCCGCCTCATCCCTCGGATCCCCCTCCGTCGTGCGCTGCCGTGTCGGATAACCCGACGCCGGAAGTCCCTTCGGCTTGCCGCCGAGCGGGATTAACCAAGGACCACCCACCTCTCGTGGCCCCTTATTCCCTCCTACCCGTAAATCCGCAGAGTACGGATATTGTTCCACCGGTATTCTTGCTTCCCGAGCTTTCAAACAGAACGTATACGAATGCCCCAGCATACCACAACAAAAACAAAACGTGTGCAGCCTCTCATACTTGAAATTAACCTAGCATGTTGTCTTGTCTCGTTTCAACAATTTCATTCTTCTTTTAATCGGTTTATCCACCGGGATTGAAACCCTAATCCGAAAATATTTTAGCCAAGGAGCCCCAATAAATCTGTCGTCCAACTTCACAAAAGTACCAATGAAATTTCCAATCTGCTCAAGAATCGGTACTCCCGTATTTATCAGGATACATCTAATTTAAATTAATTAAATGCATATGTATTATTTTTTTTTGTACCTACTAATTTATTTAATTTAATAAGAGTAATAAAGTGGCGTACATACTTTTCACCAACAATAATGAAATCATTGATTTTTTTAATTTCTATTCGTTGTTGAGACAAATTGTTTTGAGAGTTTGTCAATGACAATTGCTACAATTATTGTCAATAGAGGATGATAATAAATAATTCAAAATAAATGGTTACAATAGATATTGTTATAATGATATAGTAAAAATTAAATTACCTTACAAATTTCTTTAGAAGTTTTCATGCATTGATAATATTCTGATATGTAAACTTGTTCAATTGGAGCGAGTGGTGTCAACATTGTCAATTCTTTGGAAAATGGTCGTACCGTTTTAGATTTATGTGTAATTGTATATATGATCAATAACTTTGTAGTTAGGTCGCGCATGTCTCACAATGATGTAAGAACAATTTTGTTCGATGAAAAAATAATAGTATAATATTTGTAAAATAATATACAATTGTACCATTATAAAAATACATACAAAAAATATTAATATCATAATCACCTAAATCATTTGAATAATGCAAAAGCATGACTGAAATATTAAGTTTTGTTCTAAATAATCAAAAGAAGAATTAATTAAATGGAAAAAAAAAACTTAACCTATTTTTTTTTTTAAATCAAATGATTTTTAAAGTTCCTGATTTATAATCTTTGATGCTCAACTTTGAATGCTACGGAGTATTTATTTAGTCGTGTTAATTATTTCAACAAAGTTTATGTTGAATTTTATATTTATATATATATATATATATATATATATATATATATATATATATATATATATATATATATATATATATATATATATATATATATATATATATATATATATATATATATTCTAATACATTTTAACATATTCGTAGTATATATTTAACAATTATTCAAACTCTAATTGGGATGGAGTTAGAAACTAAGACCTTTTTATAGAAATTAATAAGTAAATTAAGAATAATAAATAGTTAACGGAATATTCCGTTACTAAAGTTTATACTAACGGAATTTAGGGCTACTTAAGGGAAGAAAATAATATAATAGACGGTAAATAAAGAAAATCATTAAAAAAATACTAAAATCAAAATAATATGAACCATTCATTTTAAGAAACAATTATACCGACATTTTTTTGTTTCAGTTAAGGGCCTAACATTATTGGCTCTTATTAGATTTGTAGATATATATATATATATATATATATATATATATATATATATATATATTGACATGTATGATTTAGCATCTTATAATAAAGTATCAATGTTGTTGCCAATATTCTAATTATCAATGTTATTGTTGCGAATATCTTTCATCTCAATGCCATATAAGAGTGATGAGTGCTGGTTTGGTTCCCACCTTGATGGACACTTACCTAAAGAACTAGGAGGCGGAGGAATGTTTTAAAAAAAATTAGATATCCAAGATTTTGATTAAAGAATGATAGATCGTGTCAATTTTGTAAAATAATAAGGAAAAAATAGGGAAAAAATGTTAAAAGCCAATAGCATAGTTTGAAACACGGTTTAGGGAGCATTTCAAAATAAACTATTATTTTAATCCCATGTTTTACCAAACAAAGTTTATAACTTAATTGTAGTTAAAATAATTTATAAAGCTATCCATATCCTTGCAATACTCACTCACTTTAAAAAATAGTCGTATTCCAAATTAAATAATCAAATTTGTAATTCATTTACTATTTTTTCTACCTAAGTGCACTTTCAACTAACTTTTAAAAGTGGGTCCATATTTCACATCATTTGAAAAAGGAATAAGGTTCAAATTGGCCACTGAACATAACCTGAAAATGCAATTAGGCCACTGAACAAAAAAAAGATGTAATTAGACCACTGAACACCCAAAAATGTGCAATTAGGCCACTGAGCACTCCAAATGTATGCAATTTCACCGGATAGTAGGTTACCATCAATTTTAGCAGGTTACCTGCTTACGTGGCGGCTGAGTTGGCATTTTTAATAATTTTTAATAACTTTTAATAATAATTTTTTTATAAAAAAATTGAAATAAATAAATTTTAAAAAAATAAAATTTGTTTTAAATAATTTTTTTAAAAACTTTATTATTAAACTTTATAAAAAATTATTTAAAAATTATTAAAAATGCCAACTCAGCTGCCACGTAAGCAGGTAACTTGCTAAAATTGATGGTAACCTGCTATCAGGTGAAATTGCATACATTTGGAGTGTTCAGTGGCCTAATTGCACTTTTTTTTTCGTTCAGTGGCCTAATTGCATTTTCAGGTTACGTTCAGTGGCCAATTTGAACCTTATTCCTTTTAAAAATTTGTTATCTTATTTCATCAAAGTTATTATTATTTACATTACCCCTTCAATTAAAAATCACATTCCTTAATTAAAAAGGGATATATTTCCATCTTATTGGTAATATAATTTTTAAGTTTGGATTACTACTATTAGTTTTTTTTTTTTTTTTTTTTTTTTTTTTTTTTTTTTTTTGTTCATATTGATGCTTTGGATGTCATTATATTGAGATCAATTACCTTAATTTTTTTTATTATTATTTTGTATTTTTCAAACATTTATTTCCATTATAAGTTATACATAACCAAACATCAATATTGATAATTATTCAAATTTTACTCTACTACAAAACATGTAAAATACTTTCACCAAAATTATTACCATTACCAAGTACTTAATTCACATTCTGCTTTTAAAAAAAAAAAAAAAATTCACATTCTGCTTTCAATTCTCATTTGCTAACCAAACACACCCTTAGATCTCATAACCTTATCTACTTTCCCGTGGAAATCTTTAAAAATTTCGCACCTTTTTTTTCACCACATTTATGTCCCTACCTACTATTTTGGCTAATAGTAATATGATTGCTTGCAACTCCAAAGTCACCAAATAAAATGCATACTTATCTCTGGTCTCTCAAAATGGACACAACAGCATTCTAACTTAATTTGCATTTATTTTAGGTGGATAAAAGTTAGACTAAATAACTTTCAAAATTATGTATTAATGTATGATAAAAGACCATAAAAAATTTGTCATATAACTGACTGTTTATAAAATATTAGGCCAAATATTAAGTCAAAATAATGGTGGAAGTCAAGCCAGTAATTTTTAATGTTCATATCAAGAATGTCACTCTGTTGGTCTCAGGCCTGATAAACAGCGTGACAATTGAATTTCACTCCAAACTCAACTTTTCTTCATCCTATATATAACACGTCTAATTTGTTATTTTAGCTTTCATTTCCTTAATAACTTTAGGAATTACACATCAAACCTTTGATATTTTAATTTAAAATTAAAACTTAACGTTATTTGACCACAATACCCTTTTAAAATGTACCACAATTTTTTCTTTTAAAATTTGCTACCATCAACACGTGTCTATAGTCTTTAAATACCCATGATCCAGTGTGAAACTTTAAATGCCACACATTTTTCTTTTGGCACCACATTTATGTTACGAAGTACTATTTTGCCTGCTAGTGGGTCATCTCATCTGATCAGAGTCGGTATAATTGAACAGATACTACATTGTAATAGAGTTAATAGTATTCGAATGAAAATAAAAAATTATTATTTTATAAAAATCACATTCTCTAATTAAAAAGGGTATCATTCCATCTTATTGGTAATATAATTTTTAAGTTTGGATTAGTACTATTAGATTTTTGTTTTGATTTTTTTTGTTCATATTGATGCTTTGGATGTTATATATATATTAGAATCAATTACCTTAATTTTTTTTTAATATTTTTAAAACATTTATTTTCATTATAGGTCATACACAACCAAACATCAATATTGATAATCATTTTAATTCCACTCTACTACCAATTCAAACATGTAAAATACTTTTACAAAAATCATTACTATTACCAAATATTTAATTCACATTTCGATTTCTATTCCCATATCCAAACCAAACACACCCTTAAATCTCATAACCTCATCTACTTTCCAGTTGGAATCTTTAAAAATTTCGCACCTTTTCTCCACCACATTTATGTATCTACCGTACTATTTTGGCTAATAGTTTATTTGAGTGCATGTGCTTGCAACTCCATAGACCATAGGCACCAAATCAAATGCATATTTATCTCTGGTATCTCAAAATGGAGACAACAGCATTATAACCTAATTTGCATTTATTTTGGTGGAAAGTTAGACTAAATAACTTTCAAAATTATGTATTAATGTATGATAAAAACCATAAAAAATTTGTCTTATAACTGCCTGTTTATAAGACTAGTTTTGTACGCGCATTGCGCGATTGAGATAATATCCAATATTTTTTTTTAAATAAGTACTTTAAAATATATCAAGGCACGATTATATTGGAATTGTTCATGCATAGATAATTGAATGTTGAATTTGCGTATTTAAATAGGTAATTCTAAGTTTACAAATGCAAGATAATATAGTCAAGATTGACTATAATTGTCAATAAAATAATTGTATAGGTATGTTTGAAACCAAATACGGGACATAAGGGAGAGCAAATAAAAATTAGGGCATAAAATATTAAATATATACTAATATTGAAGAGCTAACGGCTGATTGCCAAACAAAGACATTTCGAGGTAGTTTCCACTTCAATTTGTTGTGTGATTTGAATACTCTTTTGGTTAATAAATCCCCAAAGTAGTTAATATGATTGGCTTAATGATATATTTTTATTTTTGTTTTTATTTTTCAAAACAATTATTATTATTATTATTATTATTTTTTTATTATTGTTGTTATTATTATTATTATTATTATTATTATTATTATTATTATTAAATATAAATATATGTATACCATTGGGTCATTTTACACGTTAATCAAAACAACTAATTTTTTTCAAATATCTTTTTACCAATCGTTGATATAATTCGCTAGTCAAATCCGCTAACGCTAACTGCGGATTGTCAAACAAAGACATTGCGAGGTAGTGCTCACTTCAATTTGTTGTGTGGTTTGAATACTCTCTTTGTCAACAAATCCCTCAAGTAGTTAATATGATCGGCTTTATTAATTATATATATATATATATATATATATATATATATATATATATATATTAATTTTTTCATGGTATTAACAAAATACTTGGTAAATAAATGTATAGCATTATTTTGTATTATAACTTTGATATTTAATTAAAAAATAGTGCACAAAAAAAGATAATAGACAATGTAGTGAATATAATCAATTGATGAATTTGAATTAAAGAGTTTTTACATTGGAGAAATATAAAAGACAATATAACTAAAAAAATTAATTCTCTTAATTAATTTATTGATAATGAATAATTATTATTTTTTTAATAAAGACATTGTAGGGACAATGTAGCGAACATAATCAATTGATGAATTTGAATGTAAAGAATTTTTATATTGGAGAAAAATAAATATAATATAACTAATGAAATTATTTCTCTTATTTAATTTATTGATAATGAATAATTTTTTTTAATAAAAACATTGTAGACACATAATTCTAAATTAAAGAAATGCATATGTATTATTTTTTGTTCTAGCTACTAAATTATTATTTTATATAGTTTAATAAGAGTAAAACAGAGTACTAATTATGCCAACTTTGATTGGGATGGGGTTCAGACGATCTTACTTATTAAAATCAATGAGTAAGTTAACGGTGAACTAACATAAATTAACGGAAAAGATAATATTTAACGGAAAAGTTAACGGATAATCATATTCATTAAGGATAAATTTGGAAATTTTAAGGAAAAATTAAAATCTAATCAATCTGAGTCACTCATTTGATTAAAAAATTTGACCGGCAAATTATGCCCTGGAAACGTGTTCACCGAGAATGGTGAACACAAGGCCAAACGACGTCATTTTTAGGCAAAAAAAAAAATCGCGGATGTGGAGTTAACAGCGCGCGTTGATTAAATTATGAATTTTCTGTTATGAAATTATGAATTTTCATAAAATTCATAATCTCATAACTGAAAATTCATAATCTCATAACTGAAAATTCATAATCTCATAACTGAAAATTCATAATCTCATAACAGAAAATTCATAATCTCATAACTGAAAATTCATAATCTCATAACAGAAAATTCATAATCTCATGGTTCCAAAGTGAATGTGTAGGCATGGTTCCAAAGTGAATGTGCAGGCATGGATTCATAATTTATGAATGTCCGTGATTTCGGACGGGAATGTGTCGTAGGCATGGTTCCAAAGTGAATGTGCAGGCATGAATTCATAATTTATGAATGACCGAAATCATTGTTCACCTCAAATTAAAGTGAAACCGCAAAATGTGAAAATGAAGAAGAAAAGTCACGCAATTAATTAAGAAAAAAAAAAAAAGAAAAAGATAACGGTGTACTAACACCGTTGGAACCGTGTTCACGATTCAGTTCCATGGCATAACGCTCCGCCATTTTTTATACCAATTATAGGCCTAACTCTCTTGGGCTCTTATTAGTATAGTAGATTTTAGGCTAAAATCGTGGTGGAAGTCAAGTCAATAATTTTTAATATAATGTTCATATCATAAATATCACTCTATTGGTTTCAGGCCTGATGAGCAACGTGACAATTAAATTTTACTCTAAACTTAACTTTTCTTCATCACATGACACGCCTAATTTATTATCTTCTATTTCCTTAATAACTTTAGGAATTGAACATCGAACCTTTGATATTTTAATTTAAAGTTAAAACTTAACGTTATTTGACCATAATACCCTTTTAAAATGTACCACAATTTTTTCTTTTAAAATTTGCTATCATCGACACGTGTCTAAAGTCTTTAAATACCCATGATCCAGTGGGAAACTTTAAATGCCACACATTTTTCTTTTGGCATCACATTTATATTACGGAGTACTATTTTGCTTGCTAGTAGGTCATCTCATCTGATCGGAGTCTATATAATTGTACAGATACTACATTGTAATAGAGTCAATAGTATTTGAATAAAGATAAAAAATTATTATTTTATAAAAATCACATTCTCTAATTAAAAAGGGGCCGGGTATCAATCCATCTTATTGGTAATATAATTTTTAAGTTTGGATTAGTACTATTAGATTTTTGTTTTGATTTTTTTGTTCATATTGATGCTTTGGATGCCATATATTAGAATCAATTACCTTAATTTTTTATTTTTATATTTTTAAAACATTTATTTTCATTATAGGTCATACACAACCAAACATCAATACTGATAATCATTCCAATTCCACTCTACTACCAATTCAAACATGTAAAATACTTTCACAAAAACCATTACCATTACCAAATATTTAATTCACATTTCGATTTCTATTCCCATATCCAAACCAAACACACCCTTAGATCTCATAACCTCATCTACTTTCCAGTGGGAATCTTTAAAAATTTCGCACCTTTTTCCACCACATTTATGTTTCTACCGTACTATTTTGGCTAATAGTAATATGAGTATATTTATTTGAGTGCATGTGCCTGCAACTTCATAGACCATAGACACCAAATCAAATGCATATTTATCTCTGGTATCTCAAAATGGAGACAACAGCATTCTAACCAAATTTGCATTTATTTTAGGTGGATAAAAGTTAGACTAAATAACTTTCAAAATTATGTATTAATGTATGATAAAAGATCATAAAAAATTTGTCTTATAAGTGCTTGTTTATAAGATTTTAGGCCAAAATCATGGTGGAAGTCAAGTTAATAATTTTTAATTTTCATATCACGACTGTCATTCTGTTGATCTTAGGCTTGATCAGCAGCGTGACAATTGAATTTCACTCCAAACTCAACTTGTTTTTATCCCATGACACGTCTAATTTGTTATCTTCTATTTCCTTAATAACTTTAGGAATTGAACATCGAACCTTTGACATTTTAATTTAAAGTTAAAACTTAACGTTATTTGATCACAATACCCTTTTAAAATGTACCACAATTTTTTCTTTTAAAATTTGCTACCATCGACACGTGTCTATCGTCATTAAATACCCTTTTAAAATGTATCACCAATTTTTCTTTTAAAATTTGCTACCATCAACACGTGTCTATTGTCATTATATACCCATAGGTGGGAAGCTAAGCTTTAAATGCCACACTGCACGTTTTTGTTTTGGCATCACATCACATTTATATATGTTACGCCGTACTATATATTTTGCCTACTATATAATTGAGTGTTTTTGCCCTTCCCTAAGCACCAAACCAAACACACTTATCTTTATATCTCTGGTCTCAATCAAAATGAAGACAGCAATAATCCTTTTAGTTTTCTCCGGCATTGCCATTTCTTTCCTTCCGCTGGCCATCTCCGGCCTTCCTCCACTCATCCGCCTCCCCACAAAGGCCGACGGAACCAACGCCATCTTAGACGCGGCCGGCAACCCAGTCATCGCCGGAGCCAAATACTACGCCATCCCAGCCGTCATCGGCGTGGACGGCGGCATAAGCGTGGCTAACTCGGACACAGGAAACCCCTCCACCTGCCCCACCGACGTAGTAATAAACATCACATTAGCCGGCATGCAACCTCCCGCCGTGCGTCGTCCTTTAAGTTTCTACCCTCTAAAGCGCGAGGGCGGCGACGCCGTCATCATATCGCAGTACCCACTGAACGTTGCCTTCGACTCGCCGGACCCATCTGATCCCTGTGCTGAGGAGAATGTTTGGAAGCTTAATTATCAGGCGATGATAGTGACCGGTGGCGTTATAGACAAGGAGGATGATATTGGGAACTGGTTTAGGATTCAGAAGAATATTAATGGAAGAGGGTACCTTTTCACCTGGTGGCCGAGCCTTTGCCTTGGGTGCAGGATTGGTTACTTTCGTATTGGCAGAGTCGGCAATGGATATCAGCTGGGAATCAACTACAACGACGAATCGCTATATGCTTTTGAATTCCTAAAGGTTGATGAGTGATCAAAGCCGTACCAACGTTACGTTGAACCATCTATCATATCTATCATCATCTATCAATAGACAATAATAATAATTAACGTTTAAATAATGGGCATGACTTTGCCACCCGGTTATGGAAAGCCTACGGCATATGTATGATAGATGTATCCCATAATTGCAATTGTGTGCAATATAAATTAAATATATAATAAATAAACTTTCTTTCTATTTATGAAATAATTATTTACAAAATCACTGTTGGAAATTTATATAGTAATGGAGATTACTTTTTCCAACAATTACCTATATTAATGATAATACAAAATGTGCATGCGTTGGAATAAATTATCCATCTTTAACTTGTAACTTATTATAATAAAAATAAATACATAAATTAATAAATATAATAATTTTGAGCTATATAAATTTAAGAAAAATTTGTAAGTTTTTGGGATGTGCATGCGTTGGAATGGACCAAGAATTTTATTGTTCGGTTCTTCTTGGCCTAACTAATATTTAATCAACCATTAATTAATATAATAATTCTGAATTAAATTACCTTAACAGTAAAAATTGTTGTCTATTGAGTGTTATTGAAAAGTCACACACATAGACAATATTTTAAACCGTTGTCTATTGAGTGTGTTGGAAATATTCCATTCAAAGAAGCAACACATATTTTGGATAGTCACTAATGACTTGTCTTTACTTGCGTACAAAGGAGTGGCTGCATGGTTTGCTCATTCCCACCCCCTAATTTCTAGCTAATGTGGGGATGGAATGAGTTGAAATCTCCCCTACTCTACAGTATATAAAGGATCAAGCTGTTTTGTCTAAACACACTCAACATTAAAGCTTCTTCCTTCTTTCTCAGCTCGTGTGAGAATTAATATATATATATATAATTTCGTGTCTGCCTATTAAAGTCTGAGCAATAGTGAAGTTCGCCTACGTGATTACTAGTGCAAGCTATCCGTAGTAGGTCTGTGTAGCCTGTCGAAAACGTGTCAGGGTTCTAACTGCACAGTTACCGGGCAACTGCACCGATTCCGGGCAAATAACGCTTTTAAGGTAGTGTTATTATAACACGGCACAGATTTTCTTTCAACCATACACCGTTGTGTCTGTGCTTCTTAAAAGACTTCCTTATCGCACGTTGACGTTGCGACTATTTTCCAACAGAGTGTTGTTGAAAATCACACGTATAGACAATAGTTTTTAACCGTTATTTTTTATATATAAAACTACAGTTTTTAACCTTTTTCAATGAGCAAGTAATACCACCTACAGCTAATACAAGGCAGTAAAGCGAAACGTTTACGGTACAAGGTAACCGCTCTGATACCACTTGTTGGTCCCGGTAGGGTCGAAAGGAGTGTCTAGGGGGGGGGGGGGGTGAATAGAATCTACTCGATTTTTGAGAGCAACTCCTTTCGGAGTGGTTCACAGCGGAATAAATGGTTTGTTTTAATTTGAACTTTGCACAGTTTCGCTATGAAGAATTATAGTTCGGTCAGTATGAAATGTAATGCATGAAAGATAATCAACTGAAAATAAAGATAGATGGAGAGAAAGATTTTTATAGTGGCTCGGCTGTTAACGAAGCCTACTCCACTCTTCTTCCACAACTTGTGAAAGGGTTTGCACTATCACTCCTAGTACAAACTACTTCAAGCTAGCTTCCTTGATCACTAAGCTGGACAGCTACTTTGGAAGGTTTTTCAACTCCTCGAGTTTACTCTACCTCTATCAACTTCTTCCTCAGGGTGAGTGTTGGAAAGATTATGTCAAGTTCCTCCAACTGGTTGAAGTCTTGTCTTGGTGACTGAATGAATCTTCAAGTGTGAAAAGATGCAAGACATCTTCAAGCTTGTGAAGAGTAGATGTAAGATTATCATTTATGAATTCTTCGCAAATATATCACGCTGATCAAGAAAAGCTTATGAATGAACTAGTTTTAAAGAGCTTTTCTAAGGATAAAATTTGTTGAACGATCAGCCACTTCTTCAATGGAGAAGAGAGGTATTTATAGGGGAGGAAAAATTCATCTGTTAAAGAGAGATGAAAATTTCAAACTTATTAACCAGCGGATAAGGACCAGTGGGCATGAAGCATTTAATTAGGCTGTACTGTGTAGCCGTGGATGATAAAAAGGACTATGGCTTTTTATCCTTTTCTCTGCCAAGATGGTACTAATCATTTAATGCTCCTTGGCTTTTGTGAACATCATTCCTAGGACACCATTTGTTTAGAATGGTTGCCCAGCTGTGAGACATAGACAACATTCTTATTGCTTCACTTAGTGAAAGTTGTAACACCCCGAAATTTTTCAACTTTTAAGACTTATATAATAAAGGTAATTCTCATTAAATCCCAAAACAATATATAGTAGAGTACGGGGTGCTATGCCACACCTGGGCTAGAGAACCCAGGTGCACAGGCTAACTAACTAATATCCTCGATAAAGTAAATACAGAAGCATGGCATGCAGGCCGAAAGAGAAACTATCTACTCTATGCTCCAAATCTCTAGCGCGCTCCAGTGTCTACTCCTCTGTGCCTGAAAGCCAAATATATCTGTTCAGCGAGAGATGCTGGTAACCCACTCCAACGCGTTGAAATATAGTATAGATAGATATATATATATATATATATATAGATATACAAAAATCATTTCGAAGCAGGAAGATATATACTTAAGAGACACTAGTTTTAAAACCAGGAATAGACTCAGCAAATAGGGATAAACATATCAGACAATAATAACAACATCATGAGGAATACGCATTTACGGTCACAAGCCACTTCTCAATTCCAATCCACATTATCATCCAAACATCATTTATATCACATAATCATCGATGGCGCCACGGGACCAATCGCATGCCCCGAACATGAGGGTTAATGCCTATAGCATTAACACGGCACCGCAGCACCCTACCTCAGTACCGCAGTACGAGGGAGTTGATCGCAACCAACCCTTGGAGAACCGGTGACGAACTCAACGTCGGACCACGATCCGACACACCGCTGACGCGCCCAGTCGGTGGACCGTGATCCCCTTTACAAGGGGAGACTTACGACCCTACACACCGTTGGTGCACACAATCGGCGGGCTGTAGCGGATCAAGCCCGACACACCGCTGAGCTAAACTCAGTCGGTGGGCAAAGATCCTCGGAGACTAAGGTCCTACATACCGATGTCCCACCACTCGTTGCATCGTAGCCAATCGTAACCCTACACACCACCTGATTACTCAGGTCGGTGGACTACAACCTTCCTCGGCTTGTTGGCCCCATACCGCCTGGCGCATCCCGGTCGGTGGGTCATATCACCGAGGCCCGTGTGGACCTTCAGTCCTACACATAATCTTTATATACCTGACCGGTCTCTACCAGCCTGGTTAACAGTTGGGATGGTTCTCAACCCAGTCAACTGCCCGTATAGTGGACCTCAGTCCTATATCACATCAATATCCCTGACCGATCTTAACCGGCCTGGTTAACAGTTGGGATGGTTCTCAGCCTATTCAACTGCCTGTATAGCCCAATTGGTCTTAACCAAGTTGGGGTCATGCATCACGTAACACACAATAGCACATAATGACACATTAATCACATAGGGAAGGGGAACATATAATTAAGCTTACATGTGATCATTCACACACTAAGAATAGTTCCTAAGGGCTCATATAACTTCCACCTAGGTCCACGGGTTACCAATTCAACTAGCATGCAATTCCTAAGACTCGTTTAACCTACGAATAGTACCCGAAATTCCAAACTATACTCAGGCACGACAAACGGGGTCCGTTAGGACACCATGGGGGACGGGGAACATCAAACGGGGAAGCCGGGGACCCGGGGTGGGGTGTGGACCAGCGGGTAGCCGGTGGGTGGGGGTGACCCGCCGGCTGCCCGCCGGTGGGCGCTGTTCCGGGCAGCGGGTAGCCAGGCAGCGCCCTTCTGGGCAGCGGGTAGGTGGTGGGTTCCCCCACCCCCACCTACCCCCCACTGGCTCTTTTCTCAAATATTCGTCCCGGGGACCTTTGTGGAATCTGAAACCATGCTTAGACACTTTTAAACGCAAATAACGACACCACGTAAGCAATTAACGGATCAAAAGCAAGAATTATGTAGGACTTATCCTATTATGACCCCTAAATGTAAACAACACCCGAACATTCGAATTCCCTCCCAAATACAAATCGAGAACATCATAATACAAATTTCTAATCCAACCTAGGGCTCTAATCCCACCCAAATCATCAAGAACATATTTAATCTTTAACATTAAGAAAATATCAAGATTCGTCAAGAATCATCACATCATAATCAAGAACTTCTTCTCAACATTAAGATTATCAAGATTATCAAGAAAGCATATCAATCATCTTATCAATCATCAAGAACATAACATAATTATCATGGAAGGATTCAATCAAGACACAAGAATATAGAGGGAGGCCAAGGAAGGAGATTATAGCGAAGAAAATAGGTTTTGTTGAGACATGGGTTACCTCTTAGCCTTAATTAATTTCCTTGGCTATGAAGGGTCTTTCTTTAAGATTCCTCCTTTCTTGATTTCTCCTAAGGGAGTTCTTGGAAATTTCTTGTGTGGTGAGGGATTATTTGTGGTGTGAGTTCTAGGTGCCTTCTTTGTCCCAATTTATATAATTAAGAGTCCTAATTATGGTCTAAGTGGCATAGGTTTACTAATCCCATTCCTTATAGGACTAAGGGGTTGGCTTTAGGGATAAGGGCCCATGGACCATGGTGGATCCCCCTTTTTGGCTAATTAATGGGTTTTAATCCCCTTTTTAGGGTGGGTGATAATTTAATTCATTTTAATTTAGGGGCCGTAACACGGGGTGTTACACTCTCCCCCCCTTACAAGAGGCTTCGTCCCCGAAGCTGGTGCGTGGACCCATTCTTTCACCCCAAGACGTCACGTATTTTGGCCTCCTGGTTAGGAAATGTGGCTCTACGTGTTGTCCTTGTTTGGGGTAGACTGGATTTTTG